CTGACAACTGTGGAGCATATTTAGTCTAAATTAAAGCAAATGGTAAGAAGACCCCCAAGAAGAATATCTGAGAGTAAGGGTCAAATGGTTTGGGGGTAATTGAAGGCTTCAGGAAGAACATCTATAGGACATAACAGTGGCATTTATTCTAAACAATAGATAAAATCCATGGGAATCTGGAAGCTATAGGAAGTTGAAGAGGAAAAAAGTATCTATGTCTTTTTCCCAATGAAATGTGTGAAAAATGGGGTGCCTGGGTGGCTCTGTCGTCATGATCCCAGGGTCCTGGGACCAACCCCCGAACTGGGCTCCCTGCTCGGCAGGAAACCTCCTTCTCCCTGTCCCACACCCCCTGCTTGTGTTCCCTCTCTCACTGTGTCTCTATCAAATAAATAAATAACTTCTTAAAAAAAAAAAAAAGAAATGTGCAAAAAACAATCAGAAAATCTCAAGCAAAACTAAACTAAACTAAACATTGTGTAAGTAAGCAAAGATTCAGATAAAGTGCATGAAACTGGGCCAGATTCTGAGCAATTAGTAAACAGTGAGAAATGAACCACTCAACCTGGACCATTTTCCCTCTGGCACCATACAGGTCACACATTGGAGCCCTGGAGGGGGAAGAACAGTCTGAGAATATTACTGGGCCCACAGTGAACAGTATTTTCATGGTCAACGTATTGACTATCAATCTGTTGATTATCAATGTACTGACAAGCGTGAAAGACCAGTTAGGACTGAAAAACAGACTTAAGCATGTAGCTTATGCTTATCATTCATTAAGAAACCATCCTCAAGTTCCTTTACTGTGCAATATTTTAATGATATGGCATCACCTTGATTAAATTTTTGAAAAGTAATAATCAGCTTAACAAGAAGTGTGTGGTAATCATATAAGAAGAAATACTTGTTCAGAATTATGAATAAAAACTTAATAAATGGAAAGACAAACATTTCTATGAGATTGGTGAATAAGAATACCAATTTTTCTCGGACTAATGTGATCTCAACAAATAAGATATTTTGAGGAATTAATATATACAAATAATTAAAAGAATTCTGAAAACAAAAGTTTATGAGGAGCAGCTAGGAATTCCAGCAGTTTTTAAAATAAATGTACAATTTGCTAGATAATTTGGAGGTGAGATTGATGGAAAGCAATAGAAATTTAGAAATAGAGATGAAATTATATGACTATTCGCCATATAATAAAGGGGGTATTTTAAATTAGGGAAAAGATTTTTTTTTCCACTTACATTGTGCTGAATCAGCTGATCACCTATGTGAAAGAAAAATAAGATTAATTCCTGTCTCACTTCTTATACCAAAATAAATTCCAGATTTAGACTGATTTAAATAGTGACTTCTGGTTCAGCATGTTAGACATAATAAAAAAAGGAAACTAAAACTACTTCATGAAAGTATGGGTACATATTAGTCTAATATTCCGTGAAAGAATTTTTTTTTAACTTAGATAAAAGAATAGCAAATGAAACCACACAGAAATTTAAAATTGATGTTTGCAAAAATATCACAAACGGATAGAGGAAGATACAGTAAACATATATAACGGATAATAGGTGAGTCTTCTTAATTTTTAAAGAGCTGGTGGAGGGCTGGGTGGCTCAGTGGGTTAAAGCCTCTGCCTTCGGCTCAGGTCATGATCTCAGGGTCCTGGGATCGAGCCCCACATTGGGCTCTTTGCTCAGCAGGGAGCCTGCTTCCCTCTCTCTCTCTCTCTCTCTCTCTCTCTCTCTGCCTGCCTCTCTGCCTACTTGTGATCTCTGTCTGTCAAATAAATAAATCTTGAGGAAAAAAAAAGAGCTGGTGGAAACCCATAAGGAGGAACAAAAGGTCCACAGGCTAGGAAATTGGCATTACAGATCAGCAGATGGCTGGAGAAAAGAGAGGACTTCCTCCAGGCCTTTGTTCCTTGCCCCCTTCTCCACCATTTACCTCGTACTCGTTTTCATCATGACAATCACTTGCCATCATTTTCCCCAAACAGTTCTTGCCTCACCCAAAAAGGGATACATTGGTACTTCTAACTTGCACCTTGAAAGCTTTACCATAGATCTCTTATACACCATATTTCCCATTTTGCTTTTTCCTAGAGTTGGTCATTTTCATTGTTCTATCACTTTTGATTATAAATTTCTTGGTAGAAGAAACTGTGTCTTCCTCATCTCAATCCCTGACACCTCAAGCCCCAAGAAACTACTAACAATCGATGTTTAAATAAGTAAGCTAAGAAGACCATCAAGGGACACACATTCTGTGTGTCACACTGTGTGACACAATGTAAGTGTCCTTGAGTTACATCTCCATCATCGGAATCTAAATCTCTGGATAAAATCTCAACAGAACTGACATAGCAGCCTTCAGGCAAGGCACCAATTAGTCTTCAGCCTGTGATAGATGTATTTCGTGGCCCTCCTTTTCATTGTTTATCCACATAAGCAGCTAGAAACACATGCATTGTAACAAAGCATTGCTCTCAAATACAATTCACAGCATCTTACAGGTGGCTAAACTGTGCAGAAATGAGATTATTTTTTCTTCTGAGACGCTGAAAAGAGTAGAAGAGAACCCCAGTGTTCTTGCCCACATTGCTTATCTGCCAGCAACAGATTACAATCCCATAACTCCGTGTTCCTAAGCATTTACTGAATGCCTCATAGCTGAGTATTCATGAAAGCTAATGCAGTAGATGAAAACAAATTAATTTGGTTGGTGCCCAAGGCAGTTGAAGGGTACACCTGCATTTTTTGGTTTCTCAGTACTGAGAATAGATGTTGGATTCGATCACAAGCTTGCCTGTCATTTTGGGGGAAAGAAATCCTTGTTAGGTAAATTTCCCATTATACTGGTGGGTGTTTTGATCTTCCCCTATTGCTGTTGAGTCTTTAGAATGTACACACACTTTCACACTGGTGACATCTTCAGTGAAGGCAATACAGAAGTCTGATATTTTTATGTGAATCATCTTTGGAACTTGTGTTCCTTGTCTTTGGATGTAATAAATACTCAATAGAAAAAAAGGCACAGAAAAAAAATAATTGCCCTCAATGATAAGTGTTGTCATACTTATGAAGTTAAATGATGTGTTGCAAAGTCTTCTGAAGCATTTTTAGGATGAGTTAGAGCTAATATTCTCTTGGGCGCTCTGGCAGGGAAGGTTTTATATTGTCCTTGACAATGCTGAGTTCAAGCATCAGTAACAGCATACTTCGGACTTTCGTGAGCAAGATATACTGTAGGGTAATGAGATTATAGAAAAACTCAAGGAGATGTTAAGTGTTTCACACATAGACAAAAGATAAGCAGAAAATCATATCTCCTGGTACAAGAATCATTTAACAATTAATCACTCCTTTGCTCAAGCGGGTCCACTATGTGTCAGGCATTTAATGTCCTCTTCTACAACAGTTGGTTTGAGTGTTCCTAGCAAAACAAACTGCTAAGAGAGCTTACTGTGTAGGATTCAGCCTGGAAAGTAGCAGATTCAAGACCTCACTGAACACAGAATGCGGTTCTTGGAAAAGGATTTACTTTGGAGTCATAGTGACTTGGTGTGAATTGTTAGTGTCACACATTAGTAGAGTGACCTTGGCTAATCACCTCTCATCTTTAAGCCTCATTTTCCTTATTTTCAAAAACAAAGGATCAGAGTAGTTAATCTGCAGTGTCCATTTTGTCTCTAAGATCCTTTCAGGGTTACAGGGTCCTGTTGGTCTTTGTATTACCCTGGACATTATTTCCTGGGATCTCAGAGCCCAGTTTACATCTTCATTTTACTAAAGCCTATAAAAACATTTTTAATGAGTCACTAGATTCCAATTATCACTTTTCCCAGACATCATCATCATCATAAATCCTCATTAAGAAACATTTATTGACCACTAATGTATACAAGATCCTCAAATCAGAGCTGTACATATAACCCTATATTTAATAAGGAAAAACTTATAAGAATGGAACTAACCAAAGATCTTGGCAGAGAAAGTATGGGTCTTTTAGCTTGGCTGGATTCTGTTGGAATGCTCTATTATCTATGTACTTATTTATTTATTTATTTATTTATCTATTTATTTATTTATTTAGGTCTTGGCCCCTTTCATGGTCTTGACTCTGTACCTTGAAAATAAAAGAAAAAAATCATGAAAAATGTGTTTGTCTTCATTAAGTTGCTCAGTATGGCAGTATCATTTAGAAATATTTCTTTCTTGGGACATCTGAGTGGCTCTGTTGGCTAAGTCTCTGACTCTTCATTTCAGCTCAGGTCATGACTTCAGGGCCATGAGATCAAGCTCTGTTGGGCTCCACACTGAATGTGGAGCTTGCTTGAGATTCTCTCTCTCCCTCTCCCACTTCACCCCCTCCCCCATTAAGAAAGAAAGAAGGGAGGGAGGAAAGAAAGAGAAGAAGGAAGGAAGGAAGGAAGGAAGGAAGGAAGGAAGGAAGGAAGGAAGGAAGGAAGATAGATTTCTTTCTTAAGGAGTCTCAGATTTTTAATATAACTGAAATAATTTGATAGATGGGTACTATAAAAGTAAAATTAAGGCTATTATTCTCATATGCCTTTAGATAATCAAATGCAATTCTCTATAAAAATAAGTTGCACTTAGCAAAATAAAAATACAGTTATCTGTTGGAAATGTTCACTCTTAGCTTGCTTATAGAGAAAAAAAAGGAAATTCAAATAAAAAGAGGTCCTGGTTTTTTAAAAAATGTACTCAATAGTGTTTTCCCACCCACAAGGCTAATTTTAATACAGTGTGATTATTTTAGTTTTCCACACTGAAAAGTTAGATACCGGGCTTTTCGGATCTTTAGTTCTCAGCTGTTTCCCATCTATTGCATTAAGGCTGTTCTTCCCCTGATCCGATCAGGTAAAAATGAATAATGTTGACACCAGAGTCCTCTCCCACCGAACACCAGCTTTAAACTGCGTGCCCGCCCGAGCAGGTGTCTCACACCTCCATTTTCTTCCTCTGCAGGCATTTATGTCCATGTTCCAGATCCTCACCCAGGAAGGATGGGTAGACGTGATGGACCAAACTCTGAATGCTGTGGGCCACATGTGGGCTCCTGTGGTGGCCATCTATTTCATTCTGTACCATCTCTTTGCCACTCTGGTGAGTTTAGCATTTCATTTCACTTCTGTCTTAGAACCGTAGTGGGATGACCATCAATGGGCGTCAGTGGCCTAGTTTCCATTTCAGAACAAGAGCCAGAGAACCCAGGTACGTAGTCGGACCAGATGAGGTCCCTTCCAGTCTCAATTCCTATGAATTGATCTCCTGGAAGAACACTAGATTTCGGGTCTGATAAAGGGGTCTCCATCAGATACAAGTGTCCGCATGAGGGAAAACAAGACAAGACAAAATGGGAATCCCACCTTCGTGTACCTGTTTCCCCATCTCTAAGCATTCCCGCTCTCCGTGATCTAAGAATCAAGCTGGGCTACATTATTAGGATTGCTGCCATTATTATCATTTATCATGTAGAGGCAAGATCTCCAGTGTCACTTCCTTTTCCAAGCTGAGACTAAACTGAAGACAAGGTGAAGATCTCAGGGTACAGTGAGAATTGAACTCCATGTTTGGGGGCTCTGACGGAAAGAAACGCATGAGAGAAAATTAAAACTCAGAGCTTCAAATATTGTAAAAAGCGTCATGAAAATTAAATACCAAAACCCAGGAAGAATTGACTTCTGTCACACAGCAGATTTTTTTCTTTTCAATGCATTTCTATTAAACAGAAAGGAAAAAAATGTGAAATGTGGCCTTAATGTATGAAGCACCATGATTCTCAGGTCTTTTAATGTGATCCTCAGGTCTTTTCTCCTTACAATAAAAGCGTGTGTAGTTAAGAAGCAAACGTAAGCTCTATTATGTTAGAAGTTCCAAGGTAAGAACCCAAAATGTTATCCTTTATCAGAAACACATGAAATTTAAAAGGCAAAAAAACAAACAAAAGACACCCCTGCTATTGTTTATTGAAAAGCAAAATATTTTATAATTTTATTCTTAATATTTGGAACAACCAAGGTAGGTAATGCTCCCGCTTTACAGATGATGATACTGAGGCTCAATAGAGTTAAGAAATTTGCCCAATGCCAGATAGAGTGTAAATGCTGGAGCCAGAATGTTCCCACGTCTTCCTGGTCTCACAGCCTGTGGTCATTCAGCCATCTTGCTGTTTGCTTAGATCGCGATGTCTCCACTGTCCCTGAAAATGTCTTCATGGAGTCAAGCTCTGCCCAAGAGTCCCTAAAATAAAACAGATTTCAAGTGAGTGCAAAGGTCCCTTCCAATTCTGAATATGAACCATGTAAGTGCTTCAGAAACTAGATGTGTTCAAGGTTGCATTTGCTATAAGCACAGCCTTTCTTTAAAAACTGAAACACAGCCATCAAGCAGTGTGTGGGGACGCATGGTTATTAGGTGTAAGGTTCTAGGTTCAAGCAGTAGAATCACATGGAAGTAGTTTTGGCATTTTTTTTTTTTGCATAGGTTGATTTTTAAAATATGCACAAAATGAAAGAACATTCAGCAAGGGAAACGGACACCCAGCTTCCACAGTGAAACCTGCCCATCCTGCATGACACATGGCCCTGAGCACTTTTCATCCTCCCTTCCAGACCTTTAAGTCTCTGACATTAGTTCACTCACTCATTTACTCATTCATTCACTCACTTATGAATTCAACTGTTTTATTAAGCATCTACTTTGTGTTTAAGTTCCTTTAAAACTGTAGAATATCTTGGAGACTATTGGTCGTGGGTTCAAGGTAGGAGAGAGATGATTGAAATCATCTGTGAATGGTAATAATCTATCTATTTTTTTTCTATTAAAAGAGTATACTTGTTTGCTATTCCCATGGCAGATTTTTCACATAGATTTAATCCTTTAGTGAGAGTCTCACACAATATGAAAGCAAGAAGAAAAATGATTCAGCCTAGTAAGCTGCTTACCAAAGTAATATTTTTTCAAGTGAACTTCTACAGAGATCACTAATACAATGAAATAAAATATTAAATCTGGTGCATTGACTTCTTGGGCAGCCTCAATTTTCCTAATGGGGCCAAAACCATGGCACTGACAGTGGAACACTGAAGTATTTCCAGGGACTCCCAAGGGCTCGCCTGTGCCCCTAGGAATCCGCAGAGCAGATCTGGAAAACCTGTACGTAATTCTGCCTTTTTGTTGTACTGAGTCAAGTATCTGCCCAAAATTTTATTGTAATTTTTCCATCATGATTTTGAAAAAGAGGTTCTAAGTTAAAGCTATAAATTTAAATAATCTCTTCTTTTATTCATAATCTTTTACAAATCTGGAAAGCAATAAGGGCACTTTGGGAAATGAGGTGGAGTACAGCCGCTCCACAGCTGTAGAGTTCAAAGTCTAGGTTCAGGTTCTAGTCTGCTCATCCAAGATGGGTGGCTTTGGAAGAATTAAACAACTTCCCTAACATCTCTGTCGTGTTGTATCTGAAGGTGAGGACAATAATGCCTCACATGCCTACTTTCTACGATTGCCCTCTTCATGTGAGCTGTAGTTTTGAGGATGTTTTAGCCGCGGAATGTGAGGGTGATCACAACTATCTCCAACCCTGAGTTTAAGTAACATGGTGTGTGAGTTTAAAGGCATGCCTTAATAAATGCTAAAAATTTATTATATTGTTTCAGATACTTTTAATTTATAGAAGTAAAGTATTATTGATCAATCTTAAGTGTCATTCATGCCCCTTCCTGGACTGATTCCTTCATTGCCTTAACCTTTCCTCCTTTTCCCACACCTCTTCTTCCAGACAACGGCTAGGATGCATCTGGTCTGAACCTATCTTCCAGTTTTAAATCATATTTTACTGAATTTAACATGCTAATAACTATAGGAAGACTTATGTGGTTTAATATTAACACAAGCAACCATTAAATCATACACATAGATGATAAGGCGCACGCCAGTTTCAGAGTTGTTAAAATTTGAAAATAAATGAGTGTCTTAAAAAACCAATGAAGTGCAGTAGTCTCTCACATATATGTGTGTCCATTAAAAAAGATAGTGCCTTAAATTTAAGGTTATGATCTACAAACATTTTATATCATTAGTTTGTAAGATTCATATTAATTTTCTAGTTTGAGAAGGCTCTGCCCTAGTGCCCCGATGGCCATCCCTGGTGTCCTTGCACACTTTTCTCCCTGCTACGACCACACACCATGCTGACCTGATTTATACCTGATCATTGTTCCTCCTTAAGATCGTTAGTAGTGACAATTTTCAGAATAAATGGTATCCAATTCTACATACATTCTCAGTTATGTTTGTCACCAAAGACTGTCTTTGCAGTCTTTTCTTCTTAATGCATATAAAGTCCATCCGGTCATTATTCTATGTAGTCAGAAATATACGGAATATAACGGACTATGCCATATTTGTTTTTCAGCCCCTCCCAGTGGAATGTTTTGCTCTCATAGTGTTGCAACTAATACGTTTGTACGTTGTGTCCACTTGTGTGAGAGTTTCTTTAGGATCTATGCGGGAAGGTAGAGTTCAGGACCCTCAATCCTGCCCAGAGGGCTCTGTAGCATGGACTGTGAGCCCATATTTCAAATCTGGTCGACAGGCTTTCTTTATACAGCTGGTGAGCAAAGAATGGTTTGTGCATTTTTAAATTAATATATAAGTACACACAGAATATCATCAGTGTTGTCTCTTGGCCCTCTCAGCCTAAAATATTTACTGTCTGGGCCTTCTATTTGCCAACCCCTGTCCTCGGGCAAGCGGCACTAATTCACCCTCTCAAGTGCTAAGAATCCCTGTTATGTTCTCACTTCTAGTTGATACTGTTAGACTGAAGATTTTGACAGTTTCATGAGTTGGATGGTAATATCACTTGGCTTTAAGCTTGCATTTCTGCATTGCAGTAATTGTTAATAAGGGAGCACTTCTTCATGAATTTACTGGCCATCTTCGTGATTCTCACAATTGTACTGTATGCTTTACCTGTTTTCCTAAAGTTAGTTTGTCCTTTTAAAATGCATTCCTTGGAGGGGCACCTGGGTGGTTCAGTGGGTTAAGCCTTCCGCTTAGGTCCTGATCTCCGGCTCTCTGCACAGCAGGGAGCCTGCTTCCCCCTCTCTCTCTGCCTGCCTCTCTGCCTACTTGTGATCTCTCCCTCTCTCTGTCAAATAAATAAATAAAATCTTTTAAATAAATAAATAAATAAATAGAATGTGTTCCTTGGAGTGGTGCATAGCCTCTGGACAGTAATCCCATAGTGCTGGCAATCCCATAGGTGTTTCAAATCTCCTCTCTGAGGCAGCCTTTTATTTCAAAGTGTCTGTGAGGGCTTTTGGCATTACATTTTGATGTGTTCAAGATGATCATTTTTTCACTTATGGTCAATATTTGTTCTGGATTCATGCTTAAGAAACTCTTTCACACCCTGAGGCAGTAAAAATACTCTCCTCTGTCTTCTAATCATTTTAAACCTCTGCCTTCCACTGTTAGGTCTTTAAGTAATCCTAACATACTGTTTGTATGTATTGTGAGCCAGATAAAATACACTGTTGCAATAAAGCTCAAATTGGTTTTTCTCAGCCAGATTTATGTGAAGTTTTTATGTTGTGAGAAAATTTAGTCAGGTTCCCTGATTGTGACATCTCACGCCGAAAGTTTAACTACTCAGATTGTTATATTTATGAGTGATTTTTTTTAATGAGAACTAATTAATTCGGTGAAAGAAAATACCTCATACAACTAAATTAAATCTGATAGTTCCGCTTCCAGACTATGCTGCCCAAAAAGACTTGTCATTTCTCCAGTTCACTGGAGATTTTGCCTGGAGCGTGACCAGCAGTTGCTCAGCTTTTCCTGATATCCTCCCACCCACAGGCACAGTGAGGGTGTCCATGAAGTTAGCTCCTTCTGATTCAACCCGGTTTTCCTGAATCTTAGCTCCTGGTCTAAGTACCAACCTACTTCCTGGCCAGATTGGACAAGAGCTTAATCCCTGCCTTTCTGAGCCTGTAACTGGTACAGAAGTAGGACCAAAAAACACAAAGAAACCAACCAACCAACCAACCAACCAACAAATAAAACCTGTCATTCAAGACCTTATGACGCAAGGG